TTAAAGTCAAAATATCTGACTCTTTTGGTTCCCGGCAGTCTTGCACCTCTCCTCCCCCACGCTATTATGTGGGGGACTTGGGAGTCCGACGTACCAGGCTCTTCGGAAGAGCCGAACGCATACAGCAGTTCTACTCGGCCAGATCAAAAACCTCTAGCTGCTGTTGGCTACCACTAGCCATCCCGCACCCACTAGGGGGGGTCATGAGCTTGGTCCGACTAGTGGCACACATCCGAAGCCACGTGAGGGCCGCAGCTTAAAGTCAAAACATCTGGTTAGGGTCGATAGCAAAACCCTTCTTGGTTCCCGGCAGTCTTGCACCTCTCCTCCCCCACGCTATTTAGAGCAAGCGACGGAGATTCGCCCGTCTAGTGCGGACAAATCTCCTGGCTCGCTATCATGTAGGGGACTTGGGAGTCCGACGTACCAGGCTCTTCGGACATTGTACAGAGTTAGTTTGTCTTGCCACCTTGTCAACTGAATGCTGTTGTTGCCACAATTCAGTATGTACAATTTTATAAATGAATACAAACATACGTATATTCAAGCATCCCGAAGTGAGGGAACTTAGACTGCTGTTACATCGAAGTGCTCAAGTGTCTTGTAATATATCATTTAATTACGCTTTCAGTTTTCTTTCTCAAGTTTTGTAACTTGTTAAATCTAATCTCCATGAAACCTATACTTTGGACAGACTGTTATATATCTAATTTAAAACTAACTCTTACTGTGTTTACAAACATTAAATGTCATATTCAGTTTTATAATAAACAATGCCCACACAATTTTGATTCAAATATTTAGGTTGTTTCCCATTAAGTTTATTTAAAATTATAATGGGAAGTAACTAAAACTAAAATAGAGTGAAAGAGATGTATTTTAACAACATGTGCATTATAAAAACATGTAATTCTACATAACAATTACGGGAATATAGATACATCAGGGGCGTAGCGAGGGGGGCGGGGGGTGCGGACCGCACCGGGTGACACCATTTAGGGGGGTGACACCAAGGCGAAAAATAGCAAAATATATAGAGAAAAACTCGAGGGGGGGTGCAAATCGAAAGTTTAAGGGGGGGGGGGTGCAAATCGAAAACTTGAGGGAGGGGGCGGTGCAAATCGAAAGTTTGAGGGGGGTGGTGCAAATCGAAAATTTGAAAGTTTGTCCCCGGGAAGGGTCGCTACGCCTCTGGGGGGCTGACACCATTAAGTGCCGCACCGGGTGACACCCGACCTCGCTACGCCACTGAGATACATACACCATTAATGTGTTTATATACTATTGTTTCCACTTCACTGGTCTTTTGTTTCTATCAACGTTTGCCTGTGGTTTTTCATCTTGGGATTTAAGGTTGTTTTTTTTTTATTCCAGATTTTAATCTAAGTCACAACCTTGCCATCTAAGCTAGTCAACATTTGGCACAAAACAAATACTAAAAGTAAAATTTGTATGCCTATTGCCAGATGATATTTCTGATCAAACCTCTCAAATGTGTTTATCTTTGTCATCTTCTTCTTCGTTCTTAATTATTAGTGTTGATCGGGATCGATATTTATCTGCCAGTGGGTTTGAACTCGAGACTTTGTTCGAATTTATCAACCATGAGCTTTTTGCCGACTCGACCACGCCTCCAACACAATTAAGCGTTACGTGTCAACTGGTTATGCGCCATTGAGGCCATTGACTCCGATTTCAGCCTTCTTTTCTTTTCAGATTTGCTTCCATAGCCTTTGTCCAACCAAGAACAAACTACAAGGCAGCAGTTGTTTAATTTTGGAGTTGTCTCTGCTAGAAGAGTGTATTTTGAAGCTAATGTTTTTAATGAGTAAAACTATTTAGTCCGATATTTTAAGTTGATGCTAATGTTGTGGCACAATTCTTTTTAGCAGCAATATACGAGCTATCTTCAAAATTGTATAATTAGTAATAAAATACACACCGTGAAGCAATTATTATTTTCATTAAAATACTATTGTTTTGGGTAAATGTAATCAATAAGTCTGAATGCATATAGGCTCAAACAAATCTACAGATAAAATTATAGACATTAGTGTGGATGACATTTATCAACATAGAAGAAGTAAGTATATCTACATCAAGAGGCCAGTGGGTAGAAAACGTGCACACACAGTTAATGAGCTTACATTTTTAAGAAAACGGACGAGTAGGTACACTGTTAACACCACACCACATTACTTCACACACTGCTTCGTTCACACACTTGTTTTCACGCTAGCACACCACTTTCAAGGGGAGGACACTCTCACACACACTCTCTCCGCGCTACACATTTTAGTTATAGACATCTACGTTTTCTATTAGATCCATATATAAGTAAACCTGCTTAAATGAAAGCAAGTAAACTACATTCCAAAAATAAGTATTACTGTTTTACGTCTGTGTCAGTTTTTTGAATTAGTTTTTTTTTTAATTGTGTTATTGTACACATAAGAAAAGACTGGCTATCAATCATGTTTTATATTATTGATTATTTCAAGGCTAAATAAAAGTGTTTTAATTACAATTATTTGAATCTCCCCCCCCCCCCCCCCCCGCTTTGTATCGAATTTTATTCTTCTCTCTTTTATGTTCGTCAATTTCTGTAGGCCTTAATATTCCCTTTAAATTCTGACACAAAAAAAACTCAGTGAATATTCCGGACATCTTCACGTTTGTCTCCCCTCCCCTAACTCACATCCAACAAAAGTAACACACATCTTACAAAACACATAACGAACCATTCAGGACACGCATCACTGCCCCTGTATTCTCATCTAAACTCTCTGTATCATTTAATCGCTCAGTCCCCATGAACCCTACAATTATACATTTTTCTATTTCCTTATTTATTTCAGTAATATATTACATTCCCTTATCATTAGTCATCACCCACCGATTCCCTCGCTGTTCATAATGTAAAATAAATTATTTCTTGATGTCGCTTACATCCATATCTTAAATTGTATTTTTGATTTGTAAGACATATTTTTACTTACATACTAGAACACATATACACATGTTGATTTAATATGTTTTATTAATTTACAAAGTATTTAACCACAATTATTTGAATTTTTCATTTAAGAACATAATAACTGCAATCCATCTGCTCTATGAAAATGCTGTCCCCGTGGTTAGTATATGTGGAAAATTCAAAATAAATGTTCCAGGTCTTAAATTTTCGGACGGGGTTTCTTAAGCTAAGTGTGACCTATATATAAAGAATATCAGAATTAGTCATCTGCAAAATTCATATACTTAAATAGACTCAATGATCAGACCGATGGTATTGTTTACAAAACAAAGTGGGTTAGATTTCATCAGCTGAGCTGAGCTGATCTAAAGTATATTATTTAAAAAAAGGCATGTATTTAAAGGCTTGTTAGTAATACTTACTTCCCATGTACATGTATAATAGAGCTAAGGGAAACGACTATAGATTCGATTACTATATGTGTGCAAAATAATGTTTAACAAAAATATATAAGACATTTAATGTAAATTGTGAAATTGCAAGTGCAATGTAATCATCAAATATAAAAATGTTTTAACATTATATGTTGCTTGGAGATTAGATTTACCAACAGACACAACTCGAATAAGAAAACCGAAAGAATAATTAAATGAAGGATCACATAACGTAGGAATTCATCCAATTCATAGCAGTTATTTGTGTGTAGCATAGTGGTTACAAAAATATATTTACTTCAGTATTTTTTACTTCAAACACAAATGTGTAAGTACTGAACTGCGATACAACAGCAATCATTAGTAATAAGTAACGACAAAATGAAATGTAAAATTTTAATAACAAGGATGTAGCATACAATAAACGTATTGCATACGTATTGCGTATTGCATACACAATTATGGTGCTGACAAGCATAGCATAACAAAAAAAAAGCTATTCCCTAGCCTAGTCTTATCTTGATAGCTGAGCTTAATTGAACGTCCACATCATGAGCAGTGCCGGCGCCAGGTTATTTAGCGCTCTAGGCAAAACTTATTAAAATGCCCCCTTTCACACAAAATAATTACTAAAACATATATATATATATATATATATATATATATATATATATATATATATGTATATATATATATTACAAATACAATTAGGTATCATGTACTGTTTTCTGATGTTTCTTAGGAAATATAAAACTCATCTACAATATATAATATACATTTCAAGAAATGAAAATTATTTCTTTTTAATAAAAAAATTGTATGCAAAACTATGCATTTCGTGTATTTAAATTTTTGTGATGTGCAACATAGGATCTACATTATCTACATTATTTATTAAAAAAACATCACTGTTCTTACTATTTTCATTCCTTTTCAATATAGTAATTAAAATGACATACCTCTTGTTTTATTTGTATTGTGGCAGTAATGAATTTTTTTTTTTTTTTTGTGAACATTAAATAGAAGTTATAAAGATCCACAAACGGTGATATGACAGTAGCAGTTCATTGAACTTTAGAGTCAACATATCTACAACTACTCTGTTATTACAGTTCAATGATGTTTAATTGGTAACATTAGCTTTATTTAAATATCATTTGGCTGGGTGTTTTTATACAAAACGACCAAACTTAACCATAGTTCAACATCTTTAAAGGCACAATCCAAGTAATGTTTCATGTAAACAGATACCTTAACACAGCAGCCCATGTAATTATCAATGAAAGACAAACCATCATGATATACACATACACTGGTTGAGTGTATTCTAAAGTAATTGAAATGGGCGAAATAATACAGTTAATAATTGCTTATATCACGAGGATTGAGTTGTCGTGAATGTGTTTTTTTTTTTTTTTTTTTTTTTTAATTTTCATAATTCTTTAATCCAATAATTAAAGCAAATTTGTCTAAGTATTAACGAAATCAAGTCTACTTCTTTTCTGTTGAAATAATTCAATGCAAACAAGAGAAGTCTATTTAGTAGAAACACGAGTCCTGCTGCTCCATGAGAAGTTAGCACCATACGACTACTTGGGCTGTTTGGTTTTCTTCTTTTCCTCTTCTACAAACCAACTCCAGCCATTTTTCTCACAAAAGGCGATGGCATCTTCTTTGCTGCAGAAGTTGACTTCAGTGTTTGACAAAGGGTCCCCTGTAGAGATCCATCCCATCAAAGGATTATCCCATCTTTCTCTTTCATCAAACTCCATGCGCCACCTGCGTGTGTTATAGCTGCCAGACTGCATGGCATTGCGAGCTGGGACAAAAATTCTCACTGTCCGTGTTTTGATGTGTTCTTCAGGAACTCCACTGATAGCTGAGATGTCAATCTTCTCATTGACAGTGATGGTGATGTCTTTGTTTGTTGATTCCTTGTTCTCCACATCTGAGCCACTAGAAACTGTTACATTAGAGCTAGCCATTGATCCTATTAAGCGGCTTGATAGACGAAGATGTTGAAAAATCTTCGACGACAAATTTGTTATTTTTTCACTGTTCTGTTTAATATTAATGTACGAAAAAACATTGTTTTCTTCACAGATTTGAGTAATGATAGCACACGTTGTTAACCGTAAGTGTTTGAATGTCTCCAATTTGATTGTACAAAAATGTAAAGGTTGCATTTATTTTAAGTACAACAATGATTTAATGTTATTGGATTACAAAGAGAACAAATTTTAATAATATTGCATAAACTGTATTATCAAATTTAAAATAAATTGTCAGTTTTATTAAAATTAAGTAACATTTTAATCGCGCTACATCGAAATTTTTTTTTATATAAAGATAAGTTATCTCCCATATATATATATATATATATATATTTATATATATATATATATATATATATATATATATATATATATATATATATATATATATATATATATATATATATATATATATATATATATATATATATATATATATATATATATATATATATATATATATATATATATATATATATATATATATATATATATATATATATATATATATATATATATATATATATATATATATATATATTTATATATATATATATGTGTGTGTGTGTTTTCAATTCATATTGATTTATTTTCTATATTTGAACATTATTCTTAATTAATTATTTTTAATGAATACAATAACTATATAGGTATAACTACAGGCATGTCTATGGTTTTCTCTCTCTCTCTCTATCCATCTCTCTCGACTTACAAGCGGTCAGAGTAAATCGGATTTCATGCGTGTTGCACGGGTTCTAGACACGTCAATGTTAATTTTGTTTTTTAATTTTAATTTTATTTTTTTTAATTTTTGAGATGTGAATGATAAAGTTGCCTATCTGAACGCGGGATACAGGGAAGGTGAAGTAGAGTTCATCTATTTCTTTGTCCTAAGCATATGAAGGGATAGTGTAGTCAGATACATGCTTGGCTGGAATCGTTTTTTAAACTATAAAAACATGTTGTCTTAGACTTGGCGGGACACTGGGCAGGTGAAGTAGAGTTGAGTAGGTCACCTGTGACGTCAAAATATGAAGGCATAGTCGGAAATCAGTGTTTTTAAAAGATAAAAAACATTTTTTTTTGAATGTGGGGGTCTGGTTTTTTTTTTTGTGACGATAAGTGACAGACGTAATGGGTTTTTTTTTTATGGATGACCCCCGAAACCCACAGTTATCCAAGGGATGACGGGTAATCTAGTGTTATTATAAAGTACAAATATATTGCTAAAAATACATTTATTTTACTGTTTTTTAGTTTTAATTACTTCCCATTTATTAATTTGATGAAGTAAAGGGCATAACACTGAAATTTTGTATTTTAAATTATAAGGAAATAATTTGTTATAAAACTGTATATGACATCCAAGGTTTGGTATGACAAAAAATGACTTTTTAAATAACATATATAAAATTAGTCAAAAACTTATATTTAATAGATATGAAATTTAATAATTGATAAAATTAACTGAAAAACATGAAAGTGTAATTACATAATATATTACAAGACAATTGGCAAATTTAAATAAATCGTGTTGTTAGTCCCACCCGTCATGGACGGCTACTTATTTTTGTATGAACTTAAAATAATGCTTCATACTGAATTTTAACAACAACAGCAAACATAAATTAGTTCCGACTAAATAAAATGTACGATTCTAAAAAATAGGAAATACCATTTGATAAACGTATTGCATACATAATGATGGTGAGGCCAAAAGTGAAAAAAAAAATCAAAGAAAAAAAAAGAAAATGCTTTGCTCGTCATATCTTAATAGTTAAGCTTAATTAATCAACCACATCATGTGACCACTTAAGGGGTCATCCAACTATGGCGTCCACAAAAGTTTAGGGGTTTAGCCCCATTACCCCACTCCACGTCCACACACATTTAGTAAACCACTCAATACATGTAAAATTACTAATTCATTTACATGCAATGTGTACATTAACTAATAATGTAATATACGAATTAGATATTTTCGGTAACATCTATTACTAGGCCTAAATAATAATTGGCAGTTGAACTTTTCCAAGATGTCCGTAAGTTTACTGCGTGTTAACTTACCGTATGAATGTACTAAGATTATCTAAACTTGTTCTTTATTGAAAGAGGTCGGGCATGCACGCTGTGTACCCTGCCTAAAATCTTTTTTTACCCACTGTTTGATATAAAGAGTGGTCGGGCATGTACGCTGTGTACCCTCCCTAAAGGATTTTTTTACCCACTGTTTGATATAAAGAGTGGTCGGGCATGTACGCTGTGTACCCTCCCTAAAGGATTTTTTTACCCACTGTTTGATATAAAGAGTGGTCGGGCATGTACGCTGTGTACCCTGCCTAAAAGCTTTTTTTACTCACTGTTTGATATAAAGATTCAGAGTTTGCAGTCAGTCATGCAACCAGTTTTTTAATTGAAGATGCTGTCGACCGAACTTTTTACTGTCATGTATGGCTGTCTTGCTATCAACGACTATATGGGTTACGGTAAATTTGGCTAATCAACGTGACGTCATATTATTTTTACTCAACTACGCTGCATGCTTTTCCATAACTAACCGCCCCTCCCCATTTTTCTGGTTGCGCTGATCGTTAGCCCTACACACACGACCAAGCGAGCACATTATACACGAGCTGTTATTTAAATATCTAATTTTAACGTGGTTGTTTTGAGTTTTTTACTTGAAAAAAAAAAATGGCTAGATCTACATCATCTTAGGCGTTGACACAAAATAATGATGTAGGCCTACTATGATTTAGTTACAGTTGTTGGAAATGTTTAAAAATAAACTTGAAATACCATACATTGTTTTATAAAATTGCCGCGGTCATTGCCCCTTCTCATCCCGCTTGTAAAAAAAAATGTTTTTTTCTTTGGCGGGTGGTAAACAGCAGCATTACTGATACATTTACCATGAGAACTGCAGATTTAATTTATATGCATTTTAAAAATATATTTTTAAAATATTAAATTTAAGTATGTTGTGGTTTAATTCCGCATGTGGACGTCCACATTGACCCCCCCCCCCCTCTCCCATCCACACGCGTCCACAAAAGTCGATTTTTTTCGGACCCCCCGTGTGGGCGTCTTAAATGGATGACCCCTAATTTAGTATTAAGTAATATACTTAATATGGACGGAGTGGTCTAGTGGTAGAGAGCTGGACTGCTAACCCGTAAGTCTCGAGTTCGTTTCTGGGTTCATGTCAGCAGACCGTCCGAGTCCACCCAGTTTTGATGGGTACCTAATTCACTTTGCGCTAGGTAAAGGCGGTGGGGCACAGTGCTGACCACACTATCTCTTCATATGCCGAATTCACATAAGCAGGTGAACTCTACGTCACCTGCCCCAAAGACCGTCATAAAGAACTTAACATAAAGAGGTTAATATGTCACACTGAACGTTATTTAACAAAAGTTTACAGTTGTCTTCAAAATATATATTAAATAAAACTATTGGTTTCAATTTAAGCTTCACTCACTGTTTACTTCTTACGCTATGCAATGTAACTTGTTTGATACAACAGTAAGAATCAATTTTGAAATACGTATATGAAAGTCTGTCAAAAGTATTTGTTACATGGAGATTAGATTTAACAAATGACACAACGTGAATGAGAAAACTGAAAACGTAATTAAATCATATATTACAAGACACTTGAGCACTTCGTTTTTATACTATTCTTTTGAACGCTTCAGTAGAATATAACGTATTCTTTTCACGCTTTTAGCTGCTTTAATAGAGTAACTTTGAATTCAATTGAAAAATCGAACATACTGAATTGTGACAACAACAGCATTCAGTGTACAAGGTAGTTCTTAACTTCCTAAGTGAAATGCTAACGATCGACTTTGTAGCGATGACCGCCGACATGAACTCACCCAGTGTTCATTTAGAAAGGAGCGTGTTGGCAGGGGCGGAACTACAGTGCCGCCAGACCCCGCAATGCGGGGGGGGGGCCACGCCATTTAGGGGCCCACGGCCGACCCTAATAATTTTTATTATAGTTTAAAAAAAATCTAATTTTCTTGCAATTTTTGACTTGATGTTTGTTTTGTAAAGCGATTACTATAGCTGTGGTTTGATTATCTTTATTCTATAGACACCATCCCCACGCCCTTGTATATTCTTTTTCCCTTTCTTTTTAAACCACTGTGAAAGCCAAGTCCTCTCTTCTACAATTAAACGTAGCAAAGATAAGCAAACGTTCAAACCACTTCCATGACTTATTTCCCTTTTTAAATAGTCAAATTGGGAGCTCGTTTTAATAGATTTGTACTAAACAAATTAAAAAGCAATTACTTCTCTTACTAAATATTTTTTCACAAAAAACTTACTAAAGAATGACCTTGTATAAAAAGGAAATGTATTTAAAATTAATAATATAAATATAAAAAAACAAAAAAATAATCATAACATAAGACACCATTACTTCTACAAAGATTTCATGTTTTATATTCGTTTGGCCAAATAGACATTAAGAGAACCTAGATCTATAGCATATAAAATGAAACTGATTTTCTCAAAACACACTAATGCACTTTTACACATGACATGATGTAGTAATTTGTTTTAATTGAAAAAATCTTTTTTTTCATAACCCGAACAGGCCAGCAATGGGTATCCTATGCTCTGTTCTTATTATGTGTTTGTATATAAATATATATAAATATATAAATATATATATATATATATATATATATATATATATATATATATATATATATATATACATATATATATATATATATATATATATATATATATATATATATATATATATATATATATATATATATATATATATATATGGGTGGGGGGCCTAAAAATTTTTTTTGCGGGGTGGCCATTTTTTTCTAGTTCCGCCACTGCGTGTTGGTATTACCAACACACATCTCTGTAACTATTATCTTGACAATACTCTAAAAAATCTTTTCTATGAAAACATAGGTTTAGTGTTTAACTAAGATGCTATCGACACAAA